ACCCACACCCACACCCACACCCACACCCACACCCACACCCACACCCCTAGTCATACTCTCTAGAAAAACATCTACCCTTGGAAACCTTTAAAGAGTTTCTGAACTCTCGAACACCTTTAACGCATTATGCCAACTGCAACTCTGAAGTCGACTACACAGATCCCAACACCTTGAAAGAAGTAATAGAAACTTTATCGAAGATATCAAAAACGATCTATTTAGAACAGCGAGACGAGAACAACTAAAATGAAGATGGAAGTAATCAATGTTTTCTCATACCACTTAATATTTGTATTTTATCGATATGAACCTCAAACTAAAAAAAAAATAAAATGTTCCTTTTCTATTTGTTATTTATAACTTACTATTTGTTTTATATTGATATGGATCTTAATACAACAAAAGAAAATATTAGTTTTGCATTCATTTTATATAACTTACTATTTCTATCCTATTGATTAGAACATAAAAATAAAAAATAAATGAAATAACCATTTTCTATTTGTCATGTGTAACTCACCATTTCTATCATATTGATATCAACCTAAAAATAAAGAATAAAATATTCTTTTTCTATTTGCTATATGTCACTTACAGGGCTGGGCATTTCCATGGAAACAATTCAATTTGGGACCCTTAAAACTGACCATGTAATTTGTGAATTACAGGAATTCACAAATTACGTGGTCAGTTTTAAGGGTCCCGAATTGAATTGTTTCCATGGAAATGCCCAGCCCTGGTCACTTACCACGTATACATCTTATCGATATGAGCCTAAATATAAAAGAAGATTAGTTAGTTTCTATTTGTATTATATAACTTAGGACGTTAATGATATATAGCAGTAGTAACATCGATATGCCTTCGGAAGACACTGCGATGCATATAAAGGTGAAAAAGAAATAAGAAAAAGGAAATTGATATTGCAAAGAACAGCGCAGAATCAATGACGTGGCACAGCTCTTTTGCATATTTTGCCCACGTTGCAAGAAAAAGGTGTATTCTTCCTTTTTACACGTAAACTAATTACAGCTGTAAAAAAACAAATCACTTCCTTTTAATGATATATTAGTGACGTAACCGATCACTGAATATGTATAAAATACTAATATTTTCTACCATTTGCTTTTGAATGGTAAATAGATTCACGACAAGAGATGACAAGAATTGCTCACTGCCGCTTTTCTTACTCATTCTCACATGCGTAAGAATCGATGCATTTTAATGATCTGTATGGTTTATTTTTCGACTTGTTAGGCGACTCTGATCAAGTATTACTTTGCAGGATAAAATTAATTTTAATAACTAACTGGCATTTGAACAGAAATACTTAGTGTCGAAAAAAAATGGTAGAAAATGATTATCCAAAAAAGAATGAGTCTCTGATTGTTGTACTACGATATTTATTCTCAAATATATAGCAAAGATGTAAAGTCTTCTGATGAACATTTACTACATTATTTGTGTTGTAGTACTCATTAAAATGATTTAACGAAGAAGCATTCGAATTCATTACAACCCATGTATGGGAAAATTCTGAAGAATGTGAAAACTGCAAAAAATCCCGTTATTCTTGAGATATGGATGTAACTTTGAAGGAAAAGATCATCCACAGTCGCATGCCATATCGATACCTACACACTTTTGTGATAACATTATCTAGTGCTTAGAAATGGCAGTAACTGTTATTTATCATCATGGATTGGCTTTTTAATCTGCATTCTTATTTTCCGAGATATGTTTAAATCATTAATTATGACATTAGTGCATGTTAGAGGGATTCCAAACTTTCCAAAACTATTGCCACTGAACAACCAACCCAAGTAATTTAATCACTGGTTTTGCGTAGAATGTTTTTCAATTTTAGAATAGTTTGTAGTGACTGATGAACATTGATTTTCCTGCTGTTTACATTAATAGCCACTCATGCTCTGCTTATTGTTATACAAGGATATGTGCAGAAAAGAAAAGATGTACTAGAAAATAGAGCATAGCCGCATAAAGATCGTGACGAATGGAAAAGGTACTAATGCCTCTCCATTTGTCGTTTCAATTATATTCTCAAGTTATTATATCCATAACTTGCTAGAATTCTTACAAATATCTCTATTGATAACTATTTCAGGAGTGTGGGTGCGGGTACGGGCGTGGTTTTTGGGTGTGGGATATGGGTGTGGAACTGGGGTATGTATGCCATGTTTATTTACTCACACACCCACACCCAATTGCAAGGATTCCGGTGAAAACCAGGGAGGATCCGACAGGTTTTTGTGTACTCAAAAAGTGAGTACACTCTAGAATCGGTCAGTGTGTCCGGCCGTTAACACGATAACTTTTGAAAGGAGAGTCCAATCGCGATGAAATTTTCTACACAGTTCAGTCTTAACAATGTCTCGGTCGAGTTCGAAGATGAGAATGATTCGTCAAGCCGTTCCTGAGTTATTGTAAAAATAGTCATTATCCCCTATGCCTTCCTATGCGAAAATCGACCTATTCCCGCTTTCGTAAGAAACTTTTCCTATCATAGTCAAATAAAACCCCAACTATTATATACCATTCGATAGAGAATTTCACGAGCTACAAAATGGTATATAAAACATAAAGAAACAAGAAGACTAACTCACCTATTGCAAAGATAATTAAACGGAAATTGGTTCTGTTCTTGTCCACACTCTAATTGATCCACAATTAGAGCTCTGTCTTTCGATCACAGAGATGATAGTTCGAGGTTTTCTGGGTCTGAGAACTCTAATTCAAGCTCCGTTTGCGTTGAAATCCTATTGGTTGAGCAGTAACCAATAGAAATCAAGCTATAGGAAAAAACGATTTTCTTAGGGTAAATCAAGGCGAAGAGTTCAAATCTGAGCTGTATTCATCTCTAAATCCTATTGATTGAGCAGTAGCCAATAGAAATCAAGTGTTTTATAGAAAAGGTTTGCCAGGATAATTTTTACGCCCACACATTCGTCGGATGACTCATCTGTCTCATTCACTTTTTGAAGTACACATAACTTTCGGGTTTAAATCCGAGGTTTCCACATTTATTTTCTTGTAAACATTGAAAGAATATGATCTGATAATACAAAGTAGTCTACTGAGTGTCCTATAAATATTTCAACGACAAAAAAATTTGAATATTTCCTATATGTTTAATTCCAATAGGTTCCCAGGTCAAGAAATACGGGTCATTTCCGGTGGAAAAAATTGGAGACATGGTAGGAACTTGAAAGGAGGAATTCGGTGGTCGACTCTGCCTAGTTGAGACCGAAAATAGAAAAATCTGGCCATCGGATTCATGCTTTCAAGCTTCTACCATTTTCCCAAGTTTTGTGACGGAAGTCTGCCGGAAATTCACATATCCGGACGTCGGAATTATAGACCGAGGCTGGTTTTTTTTTGTCGATGATAAAAGAATGTTGAAAGTTTTTATCGATAAAAACAATACATTAAGAAATATAAACTTTAATAAAGCTTTGTGAGCTTTTACGGATTTTAGACAATATTAGGTATATAGATAACAATTTTAAATTTTAAGATATTAGTTTTATGTAAGCTGATTCTCACGAGATATATTCCTCTATAATTGGAACAAAATTAGCTCATCATTGGGTGGAATATGGTGATTTTATTAGAATTTCCTCTGCGACAGAGACGGAACCGATCGGATCTCCTTCTTAGCTATCCGAGACTAACTTTTCGAATACACTTTACATAATAATTTTTTTGAAGTACTTAACAGTCAACAAATCTATATAAAAGTCGATAGTGATACTTTACAATAATATTCTATAATATTTCATTTTTATCAATAAAAAACTTTGAATACTCTTCTATCATCCATCAAGCAATCAGTCCATTGAAATTAAACATATAGACGATATTTATAAGACATCCTGTAAATCATATTCAGAATAATTTCAGTTTCATACATTATCTTTCATTTATTTTCTATAAAATAATATATACATTTCAATGCTTTTTAAAGAACTTTAAGCTATTACCCCTAAACAAAATGAAAAAAAATTGCTCTTTTTTTTCTACATGTAGAAAAATCTTATACAACAAATCGTTTTTAATTACATTGATTTCTTTAATTATTGTTTTATAGACATTTCTTTTCATATAGTATTCTCTTACAAAGAAACCCAATCGTATTAAGTCTAATGATCATGAAGTTCATGAGATTGGTTCATCTCTTCTAAATCATCGATCATTAAACTTATCAGTCAGCTAGAAATGAACTGTCTTCGAGTCATGTACTGATGCTCTATGTTGCTGAAAAATCATTTTGTTTTAGTATTTCTTTTTTTTTCCTATAAAATCACGAAAAAGAAGCTCAGGAGCATCAACAGTAATCTTTTATAAGTGCATTGTAACTTCGAAAATGGTACACAGATCGTTTAGACTCCATATACAGTAGCTGTGCTTATATTAAAAAATTGCAGAGAGTAGCCGTGTGAATAACGTCCATGAAAAAGAAGCAATTAAAAAAAGAATTGTTATATAATGTCTTCCTACATATAGAAAAGGAGTAAGCTTTTATATTTCAATTAGAGTTGATAGCTTTGAAGAGTACTTTTGAAGTTTGCTTGTATAAATAAAAATGCGGTATGTTGATCTATCATTTTAAAAAATCGAATAGTAAAGATATACGGGAAAATTTTTAAAACAAACTGTATATTTTCAATGAAAACTTTCATAATAAACCGAACAGAAAAAGTCAAATCATTCTGAAGAAAATCACAATACTAATAAATTTTTGATTAAAATAACATAAAAAACTTTTCGCATGTTTTTTTTATTCTTCAGAAATATAAATTAAGGTATATTACCCAAGTATTGGATTATCAATTTCATCTAATGAACGTGTATATGGTAAATAATATCGTTCATTATTGACAAAACCAGTTTTAGCTCTATCAGCTTTTAATTTTTGTGTAAGAAGATTTTCTGTTGTTAAAGATTTATCTGCAAGAATATTTGATTTTGCTCGTATACGTGGTGGTCGATAAGTACTTGAATATTGTGTTATATAAAATTTCATTAAATAATTATCAGGGCCTTCACTTGCTAATGTATGTTGATTAGCATGACCAGCATTTGAACATAAATAATTACTCATTTCTTTTTTTTGTTTCTTTCTAATTCTATTTGAAATACAGAAAAAGAACTTCGAAAAGTTAAGTTATCATTTCAAATGTATGTTGGTTAGTAATGATATTCATTGTGGATATTGAATATTTTTAACATAGTAATGCATTTATAAACAGCTGATATTGAACCAATAGAAAAATTAGTTTCATTATATCGGTTGATTGATATAAATATTGTTTTTGTTCTATTCGACATATTTCGATCTTAATATTCAAATATTTATAAATTATTTTCGAAATCTTGTTTTTTTATTATTTAATTAATTAAAATGGGAGTTTTGTCCGATCCGATTTATCGACCATTATCAAGTACATTTTGTTTATTCTTTTAATAAATAATCTTATTTTATACATTTGTTTCGTAACTTTCATTGAATATCAAGAAGGTAAATATAAACGTTGAATTTGTTTATTATTCTTTTTTTTGGTTTTATTTTTAAATTAATTTAGGAGATAAAATTGGTTTTGTTTTGGCATGATTTTCAATGTTACCATTTATTTATATTGTTTTTTCTATGCGCATTAATTGTATTTCGACGTGATATACAAACGGTAGAATAAAAAACAACAAGATTTTTTTTTTATTCTGTACATAAGTTTTTTCTTGTAGATTATGTATTTCGGTGGTTTTTGTATATCGGAAGTGTGTAATTATTCTCTTAAAAGATTTTTTAAACAAGCACGACCTGAAAGAAGTATGTTTTTTGAGATTTGAAAGTAGTGTGAATATGGTTTTTTTTTTCGAAGTTAGTCAAGTAGTGTCCTTATGGACACAAAGTTCTTCGTATAATTTTTATAGAAAATTCATGAACAAGATAACTCCTTTTTGAAATAAAATAGTCAGCAATAAAATTCAAAGACTCAAATGAGGATTATATTTAGAAAAATTTATCAATTAAAGAATGAACTTTATATGTAAATATTGATTAATCAACTTCATAAGTAATTTGTTAAACGTCTTTTTCTTTAAAATTTAGCTATCTGAAGATAGGTTTTAGACGAAAAAAAGGCAACTGAATCAACATTAAACAGAGCAGTTTTAAAAATAAAAGAATTCACATTTTTACCAACATATGTTTAGAGATTTTTCGTACATTATTTAGTAGCAAGATTAGATCATTTTCAGAACATATTCAAAACATTTAGGTAAACGCTTAGATTGTATTTGTTTAAGTCGAACTTAATTACTTCAAACTTTTATTTATCTTTTAGGTAATTATTCAGTAAGGAGATTAATTATTAATGCTTTTTTTTTGAGTCAGTAGCTGCTATTCACCAGAGAGTTTTACAAAGCATTGAAATTGCACTTTAACAACCACGTTTAATATCTTTTGACGAATTTCTAGATTTTAAGTTTTGTGTTCAAACAATTATTAGAGTGACTCTTGAAACGATTTCTTTATTACTCTTCTATTTTATGAGGAGATAGGCGATCTTTAGGCTGTCGTGTTTGTTTAGAACCATTATTGTTCGAAAATAAACTAACGTGATGTTTAATCTAAAACATGGTTATTAGTAGAATTAAATATAAAAATAATATCGGATGAGGACACTTATTTAGAATAATTCTATTCAAAAGAAAAAGAAATTTAACGCTTAAAAGAATTCATAAACATATTCTATGACATTCTCCATGGCATAAAAAAGAAAGTGCTTGTCAATTTACTTTCCTTGAAAACAATCAGCATGAAAGGTTATTATAAAGATAAAATGACTATCTTTTTATATTTAATTATATCTGTCACATATTCACATCGTTGCATGATATGTTAGTATTATAGTCGGTTCAAAGAGAAAAAATATTTTAATCGACGCAATTTAGATTTTTTTAAATCTATTTGATAACCTTCATTACAATTAAGTATTATAAAGACATGTACAGCGTCGAAATGAAAATTAGTCAATCGTCACTTATGTCTAAGAAAGCTTTGGGAAAGAAAAAAATATTTGAAATTAAACTGCTGGTAATATAACAGCAAAACAAAATTCACTTGTTGACTGATTTCGAGTTTTTTTATTAACATTCAACTAATGAGGAAACCTCCTCAGATAGCCTGTTTCGATTTCAATGTTTTTTTTTGCCTGTAGATACTATCCAGTATCCATAGGCAAAAAAAAAATCACTGAAATCAGAAGAGGACATCTGAGGAGGTTCTCTCGTAAGTAATTATAATATATTTTAGCATACCCAAATTTTAATTTGTTTTAAACTCGAGATCGGATGGGTTTATATGAAGTTCATGGCATGCCAAGTGATAATTCTCAAACATTCTTTTATTTTATGACATATTTGTCTATATAGAGTATATCTTCATTATCATACTATTGCACAAGTTGTTGCCGGTGCATTTGTTGGAATAGCATTAGGTTGTGTTTGGTATTATTTTGTCAATTATTATTTTACGAAATATGTTCCATTTATAATTGAACATCCATTTGGAAAATATTTACTTATTCGTGATTATGCACCAATACCTCGTCTTATTGATTTTCAATATGAAAATGAATATGCTGAAGCTAAGTAAGATTTATTAGATTTGTTTTCTACTATTTGAATAAATATTTATTTTGAAACGTTGGCGAGAAAGTCGCATGAATTATACAAAAGATCAAGTATCATCATCTGAATAAATAAAATTCCATATTATTTTATTCTTTTTTTTTCCTATTTATTTGTATTGTTTTAAATAGTTTATAGTGAGACGTCTATTTAGATTTTGTTTTGTTAGTTTCACAGGCAAAACTCAGCATTTTAAAATACAATAAATCTAGCGGATCAAATATCTGTCTATTTTTTTTTTGCTTTTGTTGTTCTAGAAAATAATGTTATCAAGTAGAACAACAATTGGTAATAGTAATGACAATAATAATAATAATAACAATAACAATCATAGACGACAATGATCTGAAAGTACTATGGCAACAGATAAATCAATGCGGCTTTATAAAAGTATAGATTTTAATTTACAATTTATTATCTTTCAAGAAAAAAGAAAATTTATTTTCATAGATGATGATCGTCACCTTATTTAAAGTTTGGTTAATGAATATCTCTTGGAAGGTTCGAATGATGTTCTTGATCTTATTTGAAATTGTCCAAATGAATGTTTCGAGGTAATAATTATGAAAAAGAAATATAAGATCTTTCTTTTTATAGATTGTATCAAATAATATTGCATGCTGTAATCTGTAATAAGAGAAAAGAAAAAAAATAATATATCTTTTATTTATTTCCTGTACACACATAATATAAATGTTTTGTTGATAGTAAAAAATAAGTAATACTATTGTGTTTCATATTTCGATTTCAAAGAAAATCCATGAACATATCTTTTTTTTTTTGATTAAAATGAAAATGTTTTTTTTTTGAAATGAGTATATAAATCTTGAATGATTATTAGATTTTTAATGCTAGAGAAAGCATTGCTTCAAATTATATAAAATAAATGGAAACTAAAAAGACTAATTTTTCAATACTTAGAGGACGTAAATATAATTTTGTTTAGACAACATCGAACGATAAAGTAAATAATTCTCTACAGAATGAGAAATTGTCAAGTTCTTTACGATGTTTGTTGGCTGGCACACAGCAATTTGATTAATCGTTTTTCTATAGGAAATAGTAACAATACGATTTTAGATACTTTCGTAACATTGCTGTATCTCAACTAATAAAACGTTGCACAGTACTCGACAATTTCTCATTTTTTAGCGAATTGTTTGCTCTGTCGTTCTATGTATTCTAAACAAAGTTATATTTATGCCCTCAAAGTATTGAAAAACTAGTCTTTTGTGTTTTTTGGAATTTATCACTACAAATCTGATAATAATTTTTGTTTCTTTATATTCTTGTTTGAAACTATTGTCTCTTACAATGATGGAATAAAAGTGAAAATAAATCTTGTTGAATATTATATTCCGAATTGGATTAGAATAAGAGCAGGTTTAGCTTCGTCTGGACGGATATCTAGGATATGGTATTAGAAAATCTAAGAAGATCTATGCATTGTTGTCCATAAACAACATGTCGAATGATTAATAGAATATCCTGAATGTTACTTTGCCACGATAGTGAATTTCAAGGTAAACTCGTTTTTGTGATAAACGACTTTTTTTTGTGGAAATTCAATATCTTGACAAAGTAACATTCAGGATATTCTACTAGTCATTCGGCTTGCTTATGGACGAAGTTTCAGATCGAAATTCCGTTATTTGATTTTCCAGGAAATATCCAAAGCTGGTTCGAAAATTCAGTAAAACGATGATAACTCGACTCTGGAAACCATGTGTATGAATCTTTCTAGAATTTTTCTAGTCTTACTAAGATCTCCTTGTGAACCCAATAGGAGCTCAAACGACAGGTATTGGTTCGAGTAGTTCCCTCTTCAGAAAACTACTTTTTAAGAAAATAAAGAATTTTTCGCCGAAAAACAGCTGAAAGAAATCTTTGTTCACATTTTTTCGAGAAAATGTCTTGTGTCATACATCATCCGATGTAGCTTCAGAATATACCATTGGTTTTCAATAGAAATGCTTTGAAGTCTAACAAAAACAGCAAGTTTAGCGGAAAAGTCAACACTTTTTGGAAAACTTACTATGTGATTCAGGAGCATTTATGCTAGCTGTAGTGACAGAGGACATAGAATAGAGCATTCTGATATTCTAGACTGGTGTTGAGGGTACGCGGTAACAGCTGAAAATTTTCCTAGTTTCATGGAACCTGGAAATGATATTAAAGAGTATGATAATAAGAAACTAGACAAGGTCATCCTTGAAAATCAATCCTGATCCTAACGGCTGCTAGAATTTTTAGCAGTTATTTACAAGATGGGCAGCAATTGAGTCGGTTGGCTTAGACCTCTGTTTACAATATATACAGATCAATCATATTTCACATTTTAATCACGCAGAGATTGCGCTAACAACTTTTCTACTTTCAAAGTATTGATGCAATTTTTATCTTGAAAATAGGCACTTGTCGATTTTATTTGGAATGCAGCATCTCAAACAATGGATAGTAATGAAGATGATCTATCAATTTATAATCAACCTTCATCTCTTCTTTCATCATCCTTAGCAAATGTTCATCGAAATGGAGCACGTCGTCGTTTAGCAATTATTTTTATTGAAATATTTAAATTATTAGCTACATCATCTGTCAATGGTGGTCGATTTGATATTCAACGACAAAATCGTATTCTCTTATTTCCTTCTTATGCTGGTCAATTAATTCATGTAAGTGAGAAAATTATATTTGCTTTTGTTTTGGAGTGTTTTTCTTATTTCGAAAGAATAAAAAACAATTCTAGTTTGAATCTGATATATATGGTTTAAGTTGTCTTACGCTTGCTTCAATTATTCTTATTAATCCTAATATAATTCATCGTCGAATATCACTTTTAATTGATGCTCTTAAACTTGCAGCCAATCATTTTGTTAAAGCAAATCGTAAGTTTGTGTTTTTTTTCTATTTTTAATACATATATGTATATATATGTAATATTTTTAGTTTCTTTTGATACACCATCGATATTTGCTCTTTCTATTTATTCATTATTCTATTTATTGTGTTTATTATATCCTAATAATCTTCGTCATGAATTTCAACCAGAATCTATACAATCGATTAATAGCAATGAAAAACCAACTAATCGATTGGGTATTGAACGAGTTT